ACAGCTTCTTTCTATTATTTCTATTGCAAGAACCCCAATTATTATCCTTGCCGCCAAGGCGCCAGAGACTGTAGAGTAGACCCTTCTTTTATTTTATTGTCTAGACGGCCAGAATTTCCTTGTACCTTTAGAATTTTAGTGTTTATGATTTTATTTCACAAACTTTCCAAAATAAACTTTACATCTGTATAGAATTAGGTACCTTTATATTTTATTACTTGAAGACGACGCCCTCCTTAAGGACATCTCATGAAGCCGTTTTCTTGGGAGAAGAAAGACTGAAGACAAGACACTCTGAATCCGGGCTTCAAACCGAAAACACGAAGTTATTTTAAATTAGTCAAAGCATCCCTCTTGCCAAGCTATTTAATTTTATTTTACTTTTAATAAACGAAACCTCTTTTTTTAAACGAAAGTTAGAGTTTCAATTGCCGAGTTGGGACGATTATAACATTGGTTTTGAACCAAGAGAGTAATAGCTTTGAACGAAAAGAATAAAATCTTGCCTGAATAAATTTTAGGCAATCTATAAGAAGAGAGTTAATGCTTTGGATCAAAAAACATCGCTCTTGGACCTATTCAAAAGCGCGAATCTTTTGACTGAAAGTCATATTCATTTGGTTAAAGAGATCCTTTTTTTCAGTGCAGTCAGTCTTTGATAAATAAATTAAAATTGAAATGCGAAGATTTCAATGTTCCCCTTTCAGGCATCAATCAGATTCAAACAAAAATCAACAGTAAGACTTTTGCATGTATAAAATCGCGATTTGGAAATTTCACAAGAAATTTAACGTTTTTAGTATTGCCAATAATAACAGAACAACTCCCTATTGTAGAATTCAAAAAATCATTGATTAACGTTCCCAAAGACATTTGTCTCGCAGATGAAAAGTTTAACGTTCCCAAACAAATAGACTTATTACTCGGATCAGAAGTTTTTTATGACTTGTTGCAATCAGGCAAAATAAAGTTAGGTACTAATCTTCCAATTCTACAAGAAACATCTTTAGGATGGGTATTAGTCGGTCCTTTAAACATTCACGAACGATATCGAAAAACCGTATGCAACACTTCAAAAATTTCAAACAAAGCTTTGCACGATTCATTACAAAAATTCTGGCTACTTGAAGAGTTCGAACCTAATAATTTTTTATCCAATGATCAAAAATATTGCGAACAGTATTTTAAAGAAACCACGACGCGCAGTAATGATAATAGGTTTGTAGTCAAATAACCATTTAAACAGGACACAGATTTGAAGTTAGGAGACTCAAAATGTAGTGCTGTTAAAAGACTAAAAAATTTAGAAGCACGGTTGAACAGAGATAGCAATTTAAAAACGCACTATTTACAATTTATGCGGGAATACGAATCCTTAGGACACATGACCTTTAGTGGATTTTTTGATTCGGACGTTTCTTTGGAAACAAATTCATATTTTATGCCTCACAGTGCCGTGCTGAGAGATGGCCTGTAACTACAAAATGTCGAGTAGTTTTCGATGCTAGCTCGAAGAGCAGCAACGGAATTTCATTTAATGATTTAATCTTAGTAGGACCAACAATTCAAGCGGATCTTTTTTCTATATTGTTAAGATTAAGATTACGGAAGTATGTTATTAATGCTGACGTAAAAATGATGTATAGGTGCATTTGGATAGATCCAAGCGAACGTAGCTACCAGAAAATATTGTGGCGTGAAAGTACCGACGAAAAAATATAAATTTACGATTTAAATACTGTCACATACGGCACTTCGAGTGCACCATGGCAGGCCACGCGTTGCTTAAACGAACTAGCGGATTTATTTGAAAATAAGTATCCTAGAACTTCAAAAGTTATTAAAACTTGTTTTTACATGGATGATCTCCTCACCAGTGTTGATTCGGAATCGGAAGCTTTAGATATTTATCACGAAGTATCAGAAATTTTAAACGATGCAAAGTTGGAATTAAGAAAATGGTCGTCAAACAGTAAACATATTTTAAATTATATCGAAAAACAAAACGTAACGGACGATGAAAACTATGTTCTGTTTCATGATAAAAAAGAATTGAAAACTTTAGGGATAATATGGGACGCGAATTCTGATCTTTTAAAGTTTAACGTTAATGTCACGATAAATAAAAATAATTTTACAAAACGTTCAATTTTGTCAACAATCGCGCAGATTTTTGATCCATTGGGGCTGATTGGGCCTACTGTAATAAAAGCGAAACTAATAATACAGGAACTGTGGCACAGGAAATTAGAATGGAATCAAGAAGTACCAAAGGATTTACAGGATCATTGGTTAGAATTTATCTCGGAAATTCATCTCTTAAATGACATTTGTATTGAAAGACACGTTTTAGCTGAAAATTGTAAGCATGTAGAGATTTATGGATTCAGTGACAGCTCTAAAAAGGCTTATGGGTGTGTAGTGTATTTAGCTTCATACAACGATGACGGTAGCAAGATTGTTCAGTTATTAACTGCAAAATCCAAAGTTGCGCCACTCAAAAAAGAAACATTACCCAGACTTGAGCTTTCAGCAGCTCATCTTCTCGCAAAGTTAGTCTCAAAAATTAAAAACACATTAAATATTGACATTTATAGAACACTTTATTTCACTGATTCAACGATCGTTCTTTCGTGGCTAAAAATTGAACCCTCAAAACTAAAAACTTTCGTTGCCAATCGAGTTTCAAAAATTTTGGAAATCTCAAATTTTAATGAATGGAGACACGTACGATCTAAAGAAAACTCTGCAGATATTATAAGTCGAGGGGTAAATCCAACTGAATTGTTAAACAATAGTATGTGGTTTAACGGGCCACAATTTCTAAAAGACGACACCTACCTAAGCTCGAAAATCACGGACTATTCTTATAAACTTGATTTAGAGAAACTTCCGGAAATGAAAAATGTTAGTCTCGTTGTAAATACTGTAGAAAAACCGACACTCGAAACTGAAAATGAAAATTTTGATTTATTTAACAAATATTCAAAACTCAATAAACTCAAAAGAATAATAGGGTACATTATAAGATTCAAGAATAGAACATTAAATAAGGTAATAAAATCTGAGGAAAGTTTAAGTGTTTCAGAGTTAAAAGAGGCAAATTTGATTTTAATTAGAGTCGCTCAAAATGAGGCATTTAAACAAGAAATATCAGATCTTAATAAAGGTAAACAAATAAGTAGTAGTAGTCCTATTTTAAGTCTTCATCCTTTTCTCGATCAAAGCAAAGTTTTAAGAGTTGGTGGCAGACTGACTCACGCAGTACATTTAAATTATGACCAGCAACACCCTGTAATTTTGCCATATAAAAGTCGTATCACGGAACTGATAGTTTTAGATGAGCATTTGTACAATATTCACGCGGGATGTCAAACATTACTCTCCATCATAAGACTAAAATATTGGCCTATCAAGGGTAAGAATATAGTTAAGAAAGTAATTAAATCATGCGTCAGATGTACTAGAGCCAACCCTAAACCCGGTAATTTTTTAATGGGAGATCTACCTCTTAATCGTGTCACGCCTAACCGACCTTTCAGTAGCGTAGGTGTAGATTATGCCGGACCTATTTATGTTAAAGAAAACATGTCTCGTCGTAGTAGGCTCGTAAAAACATATGTCTGCGTATTTGTATGTTTTGCAACTCGAGCTATTCATATCGAGTTGGCTTGCGATTTATCGACAGATAGCTTTCTTCATTGTTTAAAACGATTCTGTGCTCGTCGAGGAAAACCTATCAATATTTACTCAGATAACGGGTTAAATTTCGTTGGCAGCAACAATTATTTTCTTGAGCTTCAAGAATTAATAAATAGTCCATCACACGAAAAAAGCGTTAAAAATTTCTTAGCACCCGATAAAATTAACTGGAGCTTCATTCCCGCTCGTTCAGCTCATATGGGCGGCCTGTGGGAAGCAGCAGTAAAGTCCCTGAAGTTTCACTTGAAGCGAGGCTTGGGAAACGCAAATTTAACCTATGAAGAAACGTATACATTGTTAGTACAGATCGAGGCTGTACTAAGCTCTCGTCCTCTCACCCCATTGTCCAATGACTTAAACGATTTTCAACCCCTTTGTCCTTCTCACTTCCTCATCGGGAGCTCTCTCTTACTACCACCTGATGAAGACGTCAGAGACATAAAAATGAACCGTTTGACCCGATACCAACGATTAAAGCAAATATTCCAGCATTTCTGGGACCGATGGTCTTCGGAATATCTGTCCACTCTACAAAATCGATCCAAATGGAAAAAAGAGACAGTTGATGAAATAAAAATCGGATCGATGGTTGTCCTAGTAGAGGACAACTTGCCTCCCCTCAAGTGGTCAATGGCACGTGTGGTGCAGCTTCACCCTGGTACCGATCACATAACCAGGGTAGTGTCAGTTCGCCTACCAAGCGGAGCAGTTACGAAAAGGGAAAAGGTCGTTGAAGAAGATATGCCTTTTACCAACAGAATAAAGACTAATATAAACTATTTAACTGTCAGCAGTGTTGCAAACATTTCAAGTGTCAAGTGCTAAAGTTTCATTTCGAAAACTTAAAACTTTTCAACGGGGGCGATATGTTTGGACATTCAAATCTATTTGAACATTCAAATCAAATTTCTTATATCAGACTGTTATATTGAACAAAAGTGTAGCAACATTCTTAAACATGGCAACGCCGTAATAAACCTAGCAACTCAAAAGGATCTGGCAACGCGCAAGAACAGCTGCAGGAAGAACGGCAAGCGACCAATAGGATCGCTGAGCGCGACCAATAGGATCGCTCGGCGCGACCAATAAGGAGAGACGGATTCGAGAGCATGTCACGACATCACGTTGTTATTGTTTGACTAATAATCAATTATAAATTCGTTTTGTACCGCAATAAATGGTTAATCAATTAAAGTATTAATTCTCGTTAATGTGTTTGGGTTCCCTTTGACCTATAATAAAGGGTGGTCCTTCGAAAGTCCTCAACAGAGGATCAGAGCATTTGTTAAAGGTTATATCATTTGTTTTTGTTATTGTGCGGGCATCGGCAATTTCTTCGATCGTCATTTTCAAACGGTAAGTTACTTTGTGATTGTGCGCGCATCGATAGATTGCTTCATTATGAAATTTTGAATTGTTTCATTAATTTTAGCAGGGTTATTTACAATGCCGCGACCCAGAAGATCTGATCTTTCACAACGAAGCCGAAATGCAATTAGACTTCGCAATGCAACGAATAATACCACTGAAGAAGAAAAAGAAATAGCACGAGAAAGGTGTCGCCTTAGGATGGTTCGACTTCGTGCTTCACAAACAGAAGAACAAAGAGAGGCAAGACGTCAAACGGAAAGGTTGGCCCTGAGAAATCGTCGAACTTATCAAACTGCATGTGTTGCTTTGAAGTCCGTTGGAGAAATAGGTAATAGTATTCTATGGTAATAGGTACAATCTATTTACTATAAATTACTGTTGGTGTAGACACGCACCAAAGCCCTAAACTTTTTGGCGATTTTTTGCATCTGGTATGATTTTGTCTGGACTTCTATAGAATTAAAAAAAAAAATGAATGATAGCTTTGTTGATTATTTGATATTTGTGTCTTCTTTCAGGCACCGATACTCGAGATTTTACCATAAGATCTCTCCACTTTAAATATGAAAAACAATCTACAAAAAGTTACTCAAGGAACTACAAGAAAAAAACATCTGAAATATTTAGGTAACACCATCGTTGCATTAATACATAATCTATTATATAAAAATTAATGTTTGTTTGATTGTGCCTTATGCGCTCCTACACCGTTTATCCGATTACGATGAAACTTTGTTAGGTTGTTGTGGCCATCTCCGGGAAGGTTTCTGAATAGGTTTAGGTTACGCAGCCTTACGAGGATGCAACTCGTGCAACACACTCAAATGCAGCGATTCTTGATGGATTGGCGAATGCTTGTTTTATTATTCATATAACTATTTCGCGAAAATCACGGTACAGCTATTCTGCAATAGATGGCGCAAGAATTGTGAAAGATAATATTTCAGTTGGCTGTGTTTTGTTTTGTGTTATTATTGGTGTTCTTTTTAATCAACAGTCAGTGCGTGAGCGTGAGTTTTGTGACGTAACAAGCAGTGGTGAAATTCAAACATTTATAAGGTGAGTTGCGGTGACTTTGAAATTCAAATTGTAAGTCAACATTAGGTGATAACCTTAGACCATACAACACAGAGAGACACGATTATTTACATTTAAAAGCAATCCAAGATTGAAATCAGAAAAACGACGGTTGCCAAATTGTACGGGTACGCCAGTGGGCCGTGGGGTACGCCATGTTGTTAAGTACGCCACCAGATTTGTATAGAACATTTCTAGTAAAAAGCGTTGTTAAATATCGTGAAATTGAGAGTTTATTGTTGAGTTTTGTGTGTTTTTTTTTGGAATAAAGACTAAGCAAACTTTCTAATATGGGTCGCCAGTGCAAGTTTTGTAAGAAATCAGCCCTTTTGAATCCGTATTTATCGTTTCATAGGTAAGTAAAATTATGGTTATGTTTTGTTGTGGTTAGTCAGTGGCGTATACAAAACTCGTGAATATTAGAATAAGAGAAAATTATTTTTTTTACTACTAACCTGAGAAGTAGTCATTATTCAATCTATTTTTCTCGGAAAAAATTGAATTTCTCTCCCTAGGTTAATAATGAAAATAATGAAAAAAAACCTAGGTCAATAATGAAAATGACGTCATGACGCAAGGATATTGTCATAACATACAGGTTTCTATTGATTTAATTTCAATTTCAAACTGTCAATTTAATCAAAAAAACAGGTTCCTGTATGTATCATAGGAAATTACCATAGATGTTGATAGAGGGCAGCACTTTCAACTAGAAAAAATAATTTGAGCTCAGATTTCAAACTTGTTTTTTATGTTCTACTATAGCAGTAGTAAAAAAAATTCTATATATTCCACGGTAGAGAAAGTCATTATATACCTTACGCATTATAAACCTCGGCGCTACGCGCCTCGGTTTATAAAAGCATTCGGTATATAATGACCAACTTCTCTACCTAGGTATATAATGTACTATTATTCTACTTTAAAATTGAATTTAAATACTACTTAATCTAGTTTTGCTGCGCTGCTATGTATTCGTTTAATGCACTTAATTACATACATTTAAAAAAAAAATCTCATTTGTGTAAAAATGAACTTAACAAATTCTTGTATTTTCTAGGTCTAGGTAAAAAGTCGAAAAATTATGCATGCTATATTTTTTGTTTAAATTTTAAATAGCATTAATAACAAGTTATCAAAATTATTTTTTATTTTAGATTTCCTAAAAACCCTGAGCGAAGGAAAATTTGGTTTTCAATATTTGGGATGGAGGATAATGAGAACTTTCCCAAATATGCAGAAATATGTTCAGATCATTTTCATCCTAGTGATATTGTTACTAAACCTTACGGGAATCGGTACTTAAGAGCAGATGCGGATCCGGACCTTAATGCACCATTTTTCCCTGACCCTTCTTGTTCTAGGTAATTAATATTTTTATAACTCAAGAGAGTCCTTAGCCAATATGACTGGTTTCAATTACTATTTATTTTAGCTCTAGATCTCGCTCTAGATCCACTGCTAGTGTCTCGCCACCATCTCCTTGGTCACCCCCAAGATCATCAGGGTATGTTGATTAAATAAAAAGATTAGGAAAGAAAAATTATATTTATAAATAATGTATATTCTATACTTAAGAGGACTCCGGACACCCCTGAAACCCGGTTTCATCTGAGGGCCTTTATATTCGATTAAACCATTAAACAAAGAATGTTTTATATTTTTTTTTATACAAAAGTTTCTTTAACACATTGACTGCCACGTCATACATATATGAATGACACGGCCACTTCCGTTCCGGCCGCGTCATTCATATTTGTATGACGGTTCAGTTTTACTTCTAGGCCATGTCATACACTCATGTATGACAGCCTGTATATTTTAAATGGAGATATATTTGCGTGGCCCCTGGGGATTCTCAAGGTAAACTTGGCCAGAGCAAATTTTGTTGGGTTATTGTCCAAGACGAATAAAACCAAAAATTTACTTAAAATAGGTATAATTTTAGGTAAAAAACTGTCAAACAAAAAAAAACTAGTTCTTTCTGATAGGGTGTTCCTAAATATCATGTACAAATGAAACCAGGTGATTCTTGGGTTTATTTTATGACTAAAATTTCTAATAAACATAGGTCCGCAAACTCTTCGTTACCGATCTACAGGGTGTTGAAATTTTAATATTTTTTTAGTTTTTTCTTTATAGCTCCTGCAATTTTTGAGGAATTTCGCTCAAATTTGGAATAAAGATTACCCAATAAGAGCTGAATGATTACACATATCAAGCGTTTACCAGAATCTACAGGGTGATGTTTTTTCAGGGGTCATGCCCCCTTTTCTGCCCCTGAACTTTTTCGCGGTGCGCCGGTGGTCGATTCTAAGAAACAAAATAATTGTTTTACCTCATTTAGAAACTTTTTGTTCTCTTGTAGTTATTTCGTATCACCGACCCTTATCGAGAAAAAAATTAAAAAACAAATCTCTGTAATTTGCTAGATGAAACCAAAGTTACTGAATAAACCTTTTCCAACTACACCCAAGTAACACAAAACATACATTAGATGTTTATTTTTTATCTAGATCATACATCTAGATACTGTATCGTTCGACGTCATATAGACGTCTACATGTCCGCCAGATAAACGTCTATGAATAATCTATGTCCTACTGAAAATCGATGTATTTTTTAAATCAGATTTAGACGTTATATAATACGTGTTTTTAGACGCATTATATTGAGTGTTTTTAGACGTCTTTTATATGTCTTTGTTAAATATACACTGTGGGCCAAATTAAGTTGGAACACAATTTGACCAATAATAACTTTTATGTCTGTTTATGGATTTTAATGATTTTTGGATATGATATTAGTCAATATGTTTTTGTTGCAACCTTAAAATTAATTTGACCAATTTTGGTCAGGTCCGGACTTACGACGATTTTATTAAATCGGTGTATTTAAGTTCGTTGCAAAAATGAACTGCACTATAGTGCAGTTTGTAAGTATTGAAGAAATTGATTGTGGATGAAGCCCCCTTCATTATCGACTACGGTCTGTAAACGTCTTCTCCATTGGCTATGATCCGTTGACTGGCATTTGAATAAAATATTGACATTGATAAATAATTCAAAAATAAAAAATGCCTGACAGTTTTCAGTGACCGAAAAGGTGGGAGGTAGGGGTCAACTTGCAAGACAAAAAAACAACTTTCCACATTTTCTTTGCTCCGCTACGCGTCGTTCGGTCAAATGCAATCGCGTGCGGTAAAGTGACACTTTCCGAACTAGTTAGGAAATATACTATTGAATTAAACAGCTTAATGAAATGTCAAAAATTTGACAATTGTCTGATTCCAAAGCAATCTGGATTAAAGTAATGTAAAATTTCCTATTTGAATTACATATTAGTCAAAAAAATCATAGTTTCTCAGGTTTTGGTTCTAAAATATTTATATTTTCAGGATTTGTTTTCCCATAAATGTCCTTCTAAAAAATAATAATAGTTGGTTTGTAAGTAGTGCAGTTCATTTTTGCAACGAACTTAAATACACCGATTTAATAAAATCGTCGTAAGTCCGGACCTGACCAAAATTGGTCAAATTAATTTTAAGGTTGCAACAAAAACATATTGACTAATATCATATCCAAAAATCATTAAAATCCATAAACAGACATAAAAGTTATTATTGGTCAAATTATGTTCCAACTTAATTTGGCCCACAGTGTATATTTTAATTTTTTATAGATGTTTTTTAAACGTCCTTTATTTTTTTCATGCCTCTTTATGGGCATATTTTCTTCAAAAAAAAAAAAATAACTATTATAAAAATGGAGAGCTGAAAGTAATTGTCAGTTTTAGTCGTGTTATTCAGGCTTTTTGTGATTCTGAGTTACTTAATTTTTTTTTGCAAGCATAATCTGTACGAACATGGATGTATACCTACTATAATTGGTCATAATAAAAAAACTATACCTACATTAATCGGGGATAGCTATATTACTAAAATTTTCATTACAAAATTATATTTATTAATTTAGTAACTTAATTGAGATGATTTGTATATGAAACAAATATATTTATATACGAATTATATTGTTTTTCTTTGTGCCGCCAATCTTAGCCAGTCCTTCATGGCTTGATTAATGACCTTATCATTCATATCCGAAGGTTTTCCATTTCCAGAAGAAAAGCAAAGCTCAGTGGCTTCTGAAAATTAAATAATCAGTTTTACTATCGACCCTATACTTACTTAATATTACCATAAATGACATCTTTTAACTTGGTGGCTTTGAAGGCTTTCTTATTCTGGCCTGCCCAGTTAAACTTCGTCGCTAATCTATTGGTGATGCAAAATTTTAACATGCCCATTACTGTGGTTCTCACGTTAAGGCCCCCAATACACGCTAGACGATTTTTCTAAAAA